AGTCCACTTTAAGAAAAAAACATTTATTAAACAAACTAGATCAAGACCAGAGTAGAAACAATATAAGTTGAAAAGTATTTGGATGATAGAGAAGGCTTTATATCCAGCGTGGTCTGGGTTTATCTGAGGGATTCTGAAAGTGAAAATTAAAGTGAATTATTTGTCATTGTGACATAGCACACCACTGCACACAACCTAATGTGACTTCTGCTTTTATCCCATCACCAAAGTGAACAGTGGGCAGCTTTAAGTGCCCTGGGAGCAGTGTATGGGGACGGTGTCATGCTCAGAGCACCTCAGTGGTAACTTGGCAGCTGGTGGACTTGAACCTAAAACCTTTCAGACCCAAGTCACCTCCCAAACCACCAAACGTTCGCTTGCAAACTTTTCAATCGTCTTTTTTTTGTTATCTATTTTTTTTCTAACTGTAGACACTGTCGATGTAGCCTTACCTACGCTTGTTGTACGTTATTCAATCTGTCTGTCTACGGGTTGGGCTAATCCAAAATAGTGAAAACAAGCTCCGCTGTGATCAATCAGATCAAACATTTGAATCATTTGGCAGGTAGTTACCTTAAATACTCGCATAAACCGATTCACTTATAGGCCGATCCCTGAAAATTGATGTCAAAATGGTGGTTCTTACAAAAACCTGCATATAAGCCGACCATAATGTTTTCATTTTGTGCCATGGCAAAATGTCTTACTCCTGCTATGTTCATCAACAAAAAATTAGAAAATCATCTTGTTAAACACTGTGTACGTTAAAATTGCAAAGATTTTGCAATCAAGACTACAAAGTGTGGGGATTGTTGATGGCATGTTTGCGATAATACTGACGAATATTCATGTGTAATGCCTCCATACATCGCCATTTAATTTATTTAAAATAATATAATACTGATATTTATGACCATACGTTTGACTTGTTGTTTATTATCGGTGATGATGTGATGTTGTCCCAAGTATTTATGCGCATATAAGCCGACCCCCGATTTGATCTTTATTTTTTTGGTGTTTTAAATTCGGCTTATATGCGAGTATGTACGGTATACTAATATAGATTTTTATTGATTATAATTAACAACATAAAAATAATCACAGCATTGTCAGGTCTCAATTAGGTCATGTTGTTTTTAAGTTTGAGTAACTGGCAAAGAGAGAGAAGAGCATGAACTGGTGGTGAAGAAAAAAAAAAAGGTAATTATCATAACATCATGGAGAAAGTCTCCTTGGTGCACCACGGGAGTTCATCAGCCAGCCAAGGCCTATAAGAGCATATTTAAGGATAAGGTTTGGGGTTGATTTGTTTTTTCAATTCTGCTTCCAGATCGACCTGGCCTGAGTAGTGTGGAACGAATTGAACGCTGCCAAGAGGAGTTCCTTCTGGCCTTTGAACATTACGTCAACTATCGCAAACACAAAGTGACGCATTTCTGGCCCAAGCTGCTAATGAAGGTGACAGACCTAAGGATGATCGGTGCCTGCCACGCAAGCCGATTCCTGCACATGAAAGTGGAGTGTCCCACTGAGTTATTCCCGCCTCTCTTCCTGGAGGTCTTCGAAGACTAACCAGTGGATTTAGGTGTATGCACACGTGTGTGTGTGTGTATGTGTATGCATGACTGTGTGAATGCGTGTGCATCTGTTGTTAACACCCAATGCATTGGGGGGGAGGGGGTGGCAGTGTTGAAACAGTTATCAAGGCCTTTCCAGTGAACTTTCTATTAACACTGCTGAAGTGTTACTTCATTCCATACAGTAGAAGGAACTCTCTGGTCTAGCTTTCAAAATGGAACCATTCCTTACAGTGCGGGTACATTTCTGTTTAGTTTGTTCTGTCGGTCGTCTTCTTGTGGATATAACCTCTCACCTCGGACATAAGTTGATTGATTGTACAGTTGGCCACATCTGTGATTTTAACTCACTTTTTTCATCCTAGGCCATTTTAGATGTTGTTCTATCCTTTCTTCATGTCTGAAATTTCAGGTTGGCTGCTCACCCAGGAGAGAAAAACAGGACAATGTTAGTGGTTTATTAGCCACCGGCTAACTTCTCTCCTCCTGTCACCTCGTCGCGTCGTCCATCGTCAATGTGGTGAGGGCTTCACTGTTCTACTGTGGCTAAACTCAACACTCTGATATACAACAGTCTCTGCGTAGACACTTTTTACAACATTTCCACTATGGCACTGCATTCCAGAAATGTTGGAAAATTAGGAATATTTAACATTTATACCGCAGGAAAAGGACAGAACTGGACAACCATAAGGTTCCAACAAATTTTGACATTCAAAAACCTTTTTTGTTTATTATTTGGAGACACAACACTTTTTTCAATCTATCTTTCTTATCTTTTTTTTTTTTAATTGCCCCTAATTGCAATTAAAAGTGTTCAGAACCATTATAGGACTATCCTGCTTTTGGAACCTTTGAGTAAAACCAAAGGCAGTGTTAGATTTATGTTGGGTTTTTTTTGTTTGTTTGTTTGTTTTTTACTCAACAGATTAACTTTTTTTTTTAATTGCCTTTGAGTTAAAGATAAGATGTTTTGGAGGTAGCTGCCTCTGGGAAATTTGCAAACTGCACATTCCACAGATAAATCCTTGATGTGAATAGGAGCAGCTGAGTCATAAGCCAGTGCTGGAAATTGGAATTTCAAGTACCTGGAATATGTATTCATCTGCAACCATGGCACTTAATCTAGATGGCAGTTGTGTCCCAGTCAGTTGCCGTTGTTTTTTTTTTCTTTTGTTTTTTTTTTCTTTTCTTTTATACAAAATTGACAATAAAAAAAAAGATTCAGACTCCGACATTGTCAGGAATGCAGCTGTTGCATCACATCAAGCATGGCCATCATCGCTAGTATTTGGTCCAGATGAATCTAAAGCACACAATGACACTGATGTCATATGGAGACAATCATGTTGATGTTCTGCTTTTTTGGTTCTGCCACATGCTATGTCAGAACTAAAAAGTATAAGGCCCCTTGTTAAATATCTACTCCTTCTAGTAGTACATTAAGTAGTACATATCGACATAGACAGTGCACATACTTCTCAAGCGTTAGCAGCTTTGCCCTAAGAACCAGTATCGTTTTAAAGGTCCAGTGTATAAGACTTAGTGACATCCAGTTTTTATCGTAACCTGAGCGTTAAACCTGTGGCGCTGCTGCTTTAGCGCTAAACAACCCACCAGTCACTAGGTGGCAGCAACTTATACGGTTGTTTGTAAACATAAGGAAATATATATTATCAGGTTCTACATAGTATTTCGGGGGGGGGTCATTTGGAATGATTTACAATATTTTAAGTCAAATTAAATTTAACTTTTTAAGTCATGATGGGAGCAACTCAATAAACATGAACACTAAAACCAAATAATGGACCAAACACACCTCTCAATGCACAGCAAGTGTGTGTTAACATCGATTTGTTGTGTAAGTTTCAACTAGGAAGTTTGCAAAATGATATTGTGCAAATATACCAAAAGCATTCGGTTTGCAAAGTTTAAAGGAATGTCTGATATGAACCTTTGGTCAATATCCTATAGGCTGATATTGTCCAAGCACCTAATTACCAATATCAGCCGGATAAAAATTAAAAATACAAAATACACGTGAAAATACATTTTTATTGATTCAAGGATATTTGGCAGAGCTCAGGCATTGCGTTATCAGGTTTTCATTATCGGAGGAAAAGCCGGTAATGATTCTTACCGATACTACCGATATTACCGATATTCTTACCAATGCCAATATCGGGCTGATAATATTGGTCTGCCTATATTTTTTGGACATCCCCAGGTAAAGGGAGGTGTATTGACTACTTAGCAGGGGTTACACATGCGGTAGTCTCTAAATAGCTGCAAATAAATGTTAGACACTGGACATTTGAAATGTTTGGTCTTGGCAAAGTTGCCTCAGTACTCACTCACACATACGGTAAAAATTGCAAGATCTCTTCTTGTGTTGTTTTATGCCTTGCTGCACAAATATGTGCTTTGAAATGATACATGGTGCTACAGTGGCTCAGGCAAACGGCTGGTGAATATGACTATCACCGAATCATCCTCGGCCACCTGCCACTCTCTAACATTGGTGTGCACATACCCTGACACGCACAGTCACACTACACACAGTATACCTTTAAACAAACGTGCACACGCATGTACTGCTATTCATGCATGCGCTCCACAAACAGTAACATTGGGGTCAGTTCCAGAGTCCTAGTGGCTATTGGCGGGCCCCAAAAAAACATGGTTCAGTATCATTATGGTACATCCAGGAAGTTGGTGACATTTTAGAAATGGTAGCATATTTTCAGTTTTTATTTTATTTTAGCCGATATATTCTCATCTATTGTTGTTCTTCATCAAAAATCTCTATGGCAGGGGTGTCATTTTGGTTCAGGGGCCGCATACAACCTAATTAGATATAAGTGAGCCCGACCAGTACAATCTTAAGTCAATTTTTTCCCCTTTGTTTTCACTTAAATAAGTATGTATAAGTATATTAGAGAAATCTAATCTTTTTTTATTAATTATAATGAAATATGATTTCACAAAACATTTTCTGAATGTGAAGTGTGTATTTTTTTTTTTTTTTTTAAATGCATCAAGCGGGCAGAATTGTAACCCCAAGCTGGCCGGTTTTGGCCCGTGGGCCATATGTTTGACACCCCTGCTCTATGGTATTGCTGTTTACAATGTGACAACTGCTTTGTACTACATCTTGCTTTTTCAAGTTTCACACTACTCAAAGCCACTTGTATTTTGTTGTTAATGTTTTACCTTTCTTCTTTCTCTCTCTCTCTCACTCCCTCTCTCTTATTTTTTTTTTGTGAACCAATGCCTTTCATCAAGCAAATAGACTTGGTGCAGTGTTTAGAATGACCCAGACCTCATACTCGCACACCTCTCAAACTGTACAGACTCGATTTAAAATGCACAGACAATCAGAGGGAGAGAAATAAACAGTGTGAATAAGCACCCATTCTGCTGTACCTCTGGTACCACGAGTCAGGACAAAGTACCACTGACCATGTTTGCATTCACCTTGGCCTACAGCTCAAAGTCATCTGCGTGTTGTCAGCGGAAGCCTTTAAAACTGTGACCTCCTCAAAATGTTGCACAGTTATTGCAACCATGATTTGAACGTTAGACAAATCAATCTCGGTTAATCCCAAAGGGGACCTATTTGAAGCAGACGGAAGGTGCTGTCCCAACAGTCCCTGTGCTTCTAAAAAGTCCAACTCAAAACGGTTGAAAAAGTCCCATGTAATTTCTGGTCCCAGCAGATAGTTCCTGTTGTGGCCCCAGTCGTTACTGAAGAACAGCAGTTAATAAAATTGTATCTTTGTTTTTCTTATCAAGCATTATTTAATAACACTTGGTGTTTCACATGTAACACAAATGCAATCAAACCCTTGTCTCTTACCTCACATTTTATTTCTTTTTAAAATTTTGAAGTCTAATCTCAGGAATTTGGCTGCGTATTATCGGTTACATGACAAGATTAAAGCTGCAAGTAACGAGGACAAGTGAGTGAAAACGATTTCAGTGTGCTGGCTGCAGCTTTAGGCGGCAGCAGTCCATATGACGTGCTGTAGCATTTGGACTGCTTGTGTTTGACTGTTCACTGACAAACAGTACTGTTAACACTACATACTACCTCAACACGAGGCATTTTCACAAAAGGCAAACTGTGGCCTGGGAAACAAAACTGGAATGATGGTTCCTGGGTCCAAAAAACTTGTGATGGTCCTGGGTGAGAAAATTTATCGGCATAAGGCAAAAACCAGAGAAAACCAACTGTAGAGATTGTTGTGTTAGCAATTATGCAACATGGAACAGTGATTCCTTGTGTGCTGAGAGGGATAATCAGGTGTGGACAGGTATCCAATTTTACTTAATTTGTTTTAAAATGTATTTTATTTACTTTTTCAGTAACAAGAAGATACATTAGTTGCTTTCCCAATAGGCAGCATACAATATGCTCAGGTTTCACACTGAGTAAGAAAATGTTGAGTAAATAATAGAACATCATTACCATATTTTCCATAAGTCGCACCAGCCAAAAATGCATAATGAAGAAGAAAACAACATATATTAGTCACTCCCGAGTATAAGTCACATCGGCCAAAGGATAAAAAAAGGTGCGACTTACAGGAGTAGCAGATACTGGAACACAAGCCTAGAGTGCCCTCTAGTGGCTGTCAGTGTAAAAACAATGAACATGTTAATTTTCAGTGGTACAGGAGTAGCAGATACTGGTACACAAGCCTAGAGTGGCCTCTAATGGCTGTCAGTGTGAATATAACATACATTAAACTGAGGTGCACCTGAGTACAAGTCGCAAACCCAGCCAAAGGGTGGAAAAAAATGTGTGACTGGAAAATACAGTAAATAGTAGAACGTCATTAAATTTCTATACACACTGGGGAATTTTTTTGTAGTTGGATGTGCGCTGAGTCAGAAATGCTGGTGTAGAAGAAGAGCCTTCATTTATTGTAGTGCATGTTTAAAGTAATTTGAAGTGTAATACAGAAGGTCCTCGGTTTCTAGGACGTCCTCGTCTGACAGAATTTGGTGGCTACTTTGCCATCTCTCATACATTTTTAAAGAAAGTCTTGTTCAATCATTCTGACATGGAACTAGTTGGCGAGCAGAGCGGACGAAAACATTGTCATGCGCTGCTATTCGCGGAAGACACCTTCACATTCGCTGGTTGCACGCCATGCATTTCATTGTGGTGCTATCGCTTTCTTTGTCTTTGGGTTTGCATTGTTTTTTGGGAAATTTTGCCCTTACGTCACGCCATAGGAGCGGAATTCCGATGTTGAGGACCAATCATTCACCTACAGATGAATACATACATGTGCATGTGGAAACGCAGCATGTTTAGCCATATTTTAACAGTTGTCTACTATACCAGTAGACAACAGTATAACACACAGGGAACCAACTTAAGGCATGGATGGATGAAAAAAAAATGCTAATCAGTCTTTATTTAATATATATTATATATATAATATATATATATATGTGTGTGTGTGTGTGTGTATGTATATATGTATATGTTTACATTCAAGAGGTTATTAATTGCCTGCCTGTAATAAGGTTTATTTAAATTGTGTTTGGTTTCATCTAAATTGAGTCAATAAACCAAATTGGACAGCAGAAGACAAAAGGCCTACTGTAATAACCAAAGGATGGATTAGATTGGAATGTATACAACGATTAGATAAGATTACATATCTGAAGCTGGTTCTCAGTGAACAGGATGCAAAGTCATACAACCACAATTTTCTTTTTCTTATTTTATTCAACAAAACTTCTGTCGCGAGTCAGGTTTATACAATATTTTGAGGAGTAAAGTTCAATGACTATTCATGCTGAAGGTGAAGAGCCGGAGTCAGATGTTTATATCGACTTAGACTAAATTTTAAAAGTCACACTGAGAACATGAGATAAGTTATGTGTTCTATATATGTGCCTTTTTTTGCTTTGCTCCACACAACTACAAACTCATGTGCAAACAACAGTTTCCAAAGATTTATGTGTGGAGTCTGCCGACACTGGCTGCAAGGACTTGGACGTTTTCTTGAAAAGTGAAACTATGCACCACAAATATGGCTTTTTAGGGATAAAAAAGAATAGGAAAATATCCACATATATAATTGCTGAGATGTTGACCATAACAAGAGATTGTGTTGCTAGCCCGTGCTGGTCATCACTGGTCTTTCATAAAAAATAAACACCATTTCCAAGTGGCTTAAAAGTTGGACAATGGTGTGAGCCATTTTGTTTTAAGTCTTCATTACCGTATTTTCTGAACTATAAATCGCACCAGCCAAAAACTGCATAATCAAGAAAAAAAAACATAAGTCGCTCCAGAGTATGAATTGCACCAGCCAGCTAGAGTGCTGGTGCAATTTATACTCTTGAGCGACTTATATGGTTTTTCTTCTGCATTTTCTGGCTCCAGAGCGACTTATATTCTGGAAAATACGGTAAATTAGTTTTATATTTAAAACTATTTTACTTATCATCATGCCAGAGATGCTGGTGAATGTAAACATGGTCAATGTCGACCGCTGGTTTAAACACATACTTATTGCTCCTGAAGAGGTGCTAGTATATCAGTCTCTCCCGCCAGTTGTTACTTTTATTGTTACTTTTATTGTTACTCAGTTATAAACCTAAAACAAGAGTTTCACCATAGAAAAGCTATTTTACAGTAAAAAAAAGGATAAAGGATGCATATTTTCAGACTGCAGATTTTTTTACACGGTAACATACTGTTTTGTGTTAAAAAAACGGTATCTCGGTCATAGATGCATGTCCATGTCTGCTAAAGAAGTAGGAGCAGCTGTGTTCTATTCAAAGAACACAGCTGCAGTGTTATTTTGCATTGGAAAATACTGTTGATGGAGTTCACTGCGACATACAAACAGAATGTCTTGGTGACGGTGTAACTAGCATTGGTGAAAATATTCCAGTCTTCTCCGAGTACTTTTTGGTTGTGTTTGAGTGTCTTTTTGTTCAACTCTTCAGAAACGCATTGCAGCAAAGAGCACAGATGAGCGTTTGTAGGGGCAGGAGCAAAGCTGTGGCAGAAAACAGTAAAAAGGAAGATGTGTCTCGTTACGATTTACTGTCTCTCACCTTGCTTTTTACTGGAGATCATGCCCAGTACTGTTCTCCCGTGGACAGCTTTTAACATCATGGTGAAGAACTTAAACATGAACTGATGTGCTCATGATGGACAATGACCGCGATTATTGTGAATTAGCTTGCTGAGAATAAAGAGTGTTCTTCAAGATTTAAATTGTGTTTTGAATTGTTGGGAACATGCTTATTTGGTATTTTAAGCTCTGAAGTAAACAATTAAAGAACAGTATTTTTACCCTTAATTTAGCACTTGAAAATTAATTTTGCATTTTAAGATTAACCTATCCAGTAATTTTGAAATTAAAATTAAATTGTATTTATTTAGTTGGTGAATAATCCAAATGATTATGATTATTGAATGATTATTGCTTCCTGACTAGTCTGTGAGATAGTCACAATAAAGACAAAAGGTCAAAACAAAACAAAAAACTTCTGTACTTATGACCTAGTAAAAAGGAGACTGTAAAAACCAAGCAAGCAATAAATAAATAAAATAAATCTACCCACTTAAAAAAACTGACAGGAAAATCTCCTTATCTAATCACTGATGATGTTCTGGGTCTTATTACAATATTTCTCCAGACTATAAGTCACTTCAGTGTAGTTGTGCTAGCCAACTAGAGTGCCCTTTCGCAGCTGTTTTAAGATACAGTATATATATATATATATATATATTTCCACACTGACAGACGCTAGAGGGCACTCTAGTTTTGTGTACCAGTATCGGCTACTCCTGTACCACTAAAAATTTACGTTTGTTATTTTCACACTGACAGCCGCTAGGGGGCTCTAGCTAGCTGGTGCGACTTATACTAGACTATAACAATTATTTTTTTATAAAATATATAAATAATATACAGTTAACCAGAACCCACATGTTGTTTGTTTTATATTTAAACTATTTTACTTATCATCTGTGATAAGTATTCACAAAAATGTAAATATTTTGCAGTCAACACAAAGTCAACGGTTGAAAAACAAAAAACACAGGAACATTAGTTGCGTAAAAAGGTATTTATATAGATATATTCCTCCTCACAGGTATGTTTATATGCGTCTGTGTACACATATTCAGAAATGTATGCATTCTGTAATCATTTTACACAAAGCCACAATTACAACGTCAACACAAAGCCCGAAGCTCTCACTCGTCACCTCTTTTCAGCTTATTGCTTAAATTTACACAATCTCTATAATGTTACAATCAGATTTGACATGAAATACATATAGCATTTCAGTTTCTCTAATGTCTGTACGTGTTTATTTAAAAAAAAGAAAATAACAATAAATCAAGTTATTATAGGTTTTTATAGATCCTACCTTTCGGTGACCTCTGTTGAAATATTGAATGCCAAAGTTACAGGGTATGACCCTGGTGTGACATATATGTATTGTCATTATGCCAAAACAATCAAGCTAATTGTCAAAGTATAACAATAACAACAACAAAAAAAGAAAAACATCACCCCCAACTTTTCATTTTATTTTTTTTAAATCAACTCGCAAATAATACCACCACATTCTGAGTTGTCTGTTCTTTTACTGAGGATTTCATTTCTCCATTAAGTCAGTATCTGGGGTGGACTTTTATTTCTCGACACCTTACTACATACTGCATGAACAAAGCAGGTCACATATTGCACTATGAATGCAAAACAAAAACCCCAAAAAAACAAAAAAAAGTCTAGTCTACAAAAAAGTGCTTCTAAAATTTGTACAGTGGCAAATGTACAAGATGCTACACAGTAAAACAACAAACATTGATCGATATGTCTGTCCGTATTATCAAAAATGCTGCAGGCCCGACAGTACAGTACAATGATATATTGTGATCTACTTCATGTGCCAAAAAATTATCACATGAGTTCTGGCATGATTCAGAGGTTGAAGATTATGGAGGTTTGGTTGGAGTTAAGAAGGTGGGAAATCTCCAGCCACCACCTCCAGGCTCTACTCCTAGCTGTTATGGAATTAGAGGTGGTTGTGGAGGTGGTGGTAGTGGAGATGAAGTGATGCCGTCAAGTATTCGAGGGAAACTTCAGGAATGGATCTTGAAGGCCAGCAGCTGCTCAGAGTGCATGTTGTTGAGCGAGCGCAGGTCAGGCAGTTTGAGCAGCAGCTTGGTGAAGGTGGCTAATTCATTGGGGTGGTTCTTAGTGATCAGGTTGCGCAGTGCACAAATTAATGTATCCTGCAGTGCTTCCACCGAGTTCACATTCTCGATACCGGAGCGATCTGTAAGGACAGGGCCACAGAGGTCAGTGCTAGATCAACAGTAGGTAATGGGGTCAGTTCTAAATATATATATATATATATATATACACACACACACACACACAGACACACACACAGACACACACAGTGATCCCTCTCCTATTGTGGAATTTTTATTCCAAGACCCACCGTGAAATGGGAAAAATCGAAGTACAGGTGAGATGGTTATTATATTATTTACGTATATTTTTACTCTTTACGAACCTCCCCCACACTGTTACCAACCCTCCCTAGACTGTATTACCCTCCCCCACAAAACTATATGCACAGTAGAGTTGTATAATTGTGACACAGAGCGAAGTGAATGAGAGAGTGGCCAACAGACAAGGGGAGATGCTGAGAGATGCTATGATGCATCAGCCAATTACCGTGATGAACAGAAGCGCATGCTCAATCAGGTAATAGTACACCGATTTTGCATTGTATCAGCCAATAGTGTGCTGTGTACAATCTCGTCTTGGTAAACAAAGCTACTAGCGATCGTTCGCAAATGCCCTTATCTCAATTTTAAAAGGAGAAACCACATTTTTAAAGCCAAATCTTTGGTGTGTATAATTATTTTATAATGTCTTTTAGTTTATGTTTTGCTACATTTCGCGAGATCAGAAAAAAAAAAAATATCTACACTGTTGATATTGCACCTTATAATGCGGTGTGCCTTATGGTCCGAAAAATATGGTATAGACACACACGTGCATATACAGTGGGTACAGAAAGTATTCAGACCCTTTTAAATTTGTCACTCTTTGTTTCATCACAGCGATTTGCTAAAATCAAAAAAGTTCATTTTATTTCTCATTAATGTACACTCAGCACCCCATCTTGACAGAAAAAAACAGAAATGTAGACATTTTTGCAAATTTATTAAAAAAGAAAAACTGAAATATCACATGGTCATAAGTATTCAGACCCTTTGCTGGGACACTCACATGCTGTCCATTTCTTCTGATCCTCCTTGAGATGGTTCTACTCCTTCATTGGAGTCCAGCTTTGTTTAATTAAACTGATTGGACTTGATTAGGAAAGGCACACACCTGTCTATATAAGACCTTACAGCTCACAGTGCATGTCAGAGCAAATGAGAATCATTAGGTTGAAGGAACTGCCCAAGGAGTGAAACATGGTGGTGGCAGCATCATGCTATGGGGATGTTTTTAAGCTGCAGGGACCGGACGACGGTTGCAATTGAAGGAAAGATGAATGCGGCCAAGTACAGAGATATCCTGGAAGAAAACCTCTTCCAGAGTGCTCAGGACCTCAGACCGGGCCGAAGGTTCACCTTCTAACAAGACAATGACCCTAAGCACACAGCTAAAATAACGAAGGAGTGGCTTCAGAACAACTCTGTGACCATTCTTGACTGGCCCAGCCAGAGCCCTGACCTAAGCCCAATTGAGCATCTCTGGAGAGACCTGAAAATGGCTGTCCCCCAACATTCACCATCCAACCTGACGGAACTGGAGAGGATCTGCAAGGAAGAAATGCAGAGGATCCCCAAATCCAGATGTGAAAAACTTGTTGCGTCATTCCCAAGAAGACTCATGGCTGTACTAGCTCAAAAGGGTGCTTCTACTCAATAATGAGCAAAGGGTCTGAATACTTATGACCATGTGATATTTCAGTGTTTCTTTTTTTAATAAATTTGCAAAAATTTCTACATTTCTGTTTTTTCTGTCAAGATGGGGAGCTGAGTGTACATTAATGAGAAATAAAATGAACTTTTTTTGATTTTAGCAAATGGCTGCAATGACACAAAGAGTGACAAATTTAAAGGGGTCTGAATACTTTCCGTACCCACTGTATATACATATATATTTTTCATTTATCTGCCATATGTATCCTGAAGAGTGGACACCAGCATAAGACAGATAAACTCACCAGCAGAGACCAGGACCACAGCAGTAAAGAGGCTCATTTCCTCCTCGCTCAGGCCCAAGTTAGTGAGCTTCTCACTGAAATCAAACATGGAGTTCAGGAATTCGCTGGCACCCATGCTCCTCAGTGTGTCCACACTGTACTTCTTGCCTCCCAGAAATGTCACAGTGCGTTCTTTTGCATCAAACAGTGAAGCAAAACGAACAACTAGCACCTGTGGAACACATACGTAATCTGATCAGCTTCAGCGGGTTAAAGCCTACTACATATTAACAATGTAAAGCAATCAAAAACCATATGATGTACCTCAAAGGTTCCAGCCTTGAGCAGGTTGACCTGGTCGTGCTGTGACAGATCCCTAAAGCCGGGAATTTTTTTCGCAAACTCCACCACCTCCCTGACAGCCGGGGTGAAGCTGTGCATGAATTCGTCCCACACCTCGTGCCCTGATTTCTGTGAGTCAATATTGGGGGCTGTGTTCATTGGACAACCCTGACCACAAAGAAAAATAAATCACAAAGAATCTTGAAAACAGCCAAGGCAGTCATTTTTACCATTTTGAAAATCACATAATCAATAACTTATTTTACAATTAAAATATATAACCCTGTCTTTACCTAAATGTGTTTGTGTTGTAAGTCAAAATGTTATTTTTATGTATTAGACAAAACACAAAAAAAGATATAATTTCTATCTATTCCAGCCAAAAGCGGCCATAATGACTGCAAAGAATTTTGCGCAACAAATGTAGCAACTTGGTTGCTATAGCAACAATCATCTTCTTCACTTCTTGCAATCTTGAGTGTCAGTAGGTTACTGTTTTTGACCTTTGAGCATGATGTCACACCTGAGGCATCACTGGGTCGAAAGCAAAGCTGAACTAAGTGATGTACTATAAAAACTCCAAGTATGGCGTGGACGCCTGCTGCAAATGCCACAAGCCGGTTTGTAGTAACTGTACGAAAAGAAAACAAATCAAATGTGTTGCCTGTGAAAACTAAGGAGAGGAACAGTGGTGCAAATCATTGACAATAGTTTTGAGTTTATTATTAATGTTGTTATTGTTGTTCACAGTGTTAAAATATTTCCTAAACAGATATGGTTATACGGTATGCATTATCGCTGTTTTATCGCTGATTGCACTGCTATGAATAAATGCAGTGAGCAATGGATTTACAATAAGAAGCTGTCGCTGTGGTGCCCGCGGCTGTTCTAGTAGTTTTGGAATCCCGGATTGACATCTTTAACTCTGGCACCTCCAGCTCTGCCTCCTGTCTTCTGCCTATTGTGTGCTAGTGTTTTTAAAACCATACATCATGGCTGGTCTCACCACCATCCTGTAAACCTTTCCCTTCCCCTTAGCTGACACTCGTCTGTCACAAATCACTCCTGACACTTTTCTCCAGCTGTTTCATCCTGCCTGCACTCTATTCTTCACCTCTCTTCCACAGTCTCCTCTGCTCTGAACAGTTGATCCTAAGTACCTAAACTCCTGCATCTTCACCACCTCTGCTCCTTGTAACCTCACCATTTCACTGTTCTCCCTTTTCGTTTACACACATGTACTCTGTCTTGCTATGACTGACCTTCATTCCTCTTCTCTCTAGTGCATACCTCAACCTCACTAGGGTCTCTTCTAGCTGCTGTCTATTCTCACTACAGTCATAATGTCATCTGCAGACAACATAGTCCATGAGGACTCCTGTCTGACAAGAAAGGGCTCAGGGCCGATCCTTGATGTAGTCCCACCTCCACCTTGAAATCTTCTGTCCTTCCAACAGCACACCTCACCAATGTTGTACTATTCTCATACATGTCCTGCACCAAACTAACATACTTCTCTGCCACTCCTGACTTCCTCATACAAAACCACAATTCCTCCCTTCGGCACTTTGTCATATGAATATTCTAAATATACAAATACACAATGTAGCTCCTTCTGACCTTCTCTGTACTTCTCCATCAGCATCCTCAAGGCAAATATTGCATCTGTGGTACTCTTCCTAGGCATGACCCCATACTGTTTTTCACAAATCTCCACATCCTGCCGCAACCTGGCGTAAATTACTCTTTCCAAAATCTTCATTGTATGCTCATTAACTTTATCCCGCTGTAGTTGTTACAACTCTGTACATCACCCTTCTTATGAATTGGCACCAGAACACTTTTCCTCCACTCATCAGGCATCTTGTCCATCTCAAATTCTGTTAAACAACCTAGTCAGGAAATCTACTGCCACTTGTCCTAAGCACTTTCATACTTCCACTGGTATGTCATCAGGACCAACTGACTTTCCACTCTTAAGGCTTTTCTTACTTCACCCTTTCTAATCTGCTTTACCTTCTTCCCAATAGTTTCTGACTCATTCCTACGTTCCCTTTAATTTTCCTCATTCAACACCTCCTGTCCTTAATCAACCTCACCTGCTGCACATCCTTCACACCTTCCCAGCTTGATTTCTCTTTCCCGCCAATCTATACAACACCTTTTCTCCCTTCTTTTTGTCCAAACTCTGATACAACACCTCATATGCCTTTTGTTTGGCCTTGGCCACTTCCCTCTTCACCTCCCTTTGTACCCCAGTCTGTTCTCCTCTGTTCTCTCACTGTCCCATTTGGCTACACTGCCTCCACCTTACAGTCTCTAATATATGTGACATATAGCCTGGAAAAATATGGTAATCATGATTAATCCACAACTAAATCTGATACAAATGTTCATCAATTTACAGCCCATGTGTTTCTTTGCTGCCAACAAACTGACTTGTCTAACTGTTTAGAAATATATTTTGTAAGTGACAAGTGCTAAGTAGCAGTATTTAAATACTTTGACCCCTTTATCTAAACACTAATAAACCCATCACTCACCAAATACATTCTTCTGCCATCTCTCAACCAGTGCCCGCTTTGGACTTCATGGACAGAAGATAGTATTCTTAAAGTTCCCTGACTCTGTCCCACAGTGCTGGGAAACAATCTGGAGGTAGAGTGGTTGGCAATTTTGTCTTCATAACTCTTTGGCCCCAGGCTGACAGGTGTTGATTTGCTGGCCATGTTGTTTTGACAGTTCCAGGCATCCTGTATGTCGTCTCTTTGGTCATCGGCAACATTCTGATCAACACCATTGTCCAATGAGCCTGTAGTCACAGTGGAGTCTGCGCTCAGGGTAATTTGTTCCTGTTTGTTCATAGGGGTGGTTATGTGTGCCTTTGTCCCCGAGCCAATCCCTTCCTCTTCGCCACTGTCGGATGCGCATGGCGAAGCTGAGCTGGGGCTGGTGTCCATTTTCATTGCAGGCTCAGGGTCAGAATTGGTGTCTGACACACTGGAGCAGGGGGAGGAGGAGGCGGCATAGCCAACTTGCTCCGAGGTAGATTCGGTGGAATTGATTGGCAGTGACAAAGCGGCAGGCAACATCTGGCTGCTCTGCAGCTGGCTGTTTAGCTGACCATTATTAATAATGTTGTTCATGGCATTCTGCATTTCCAGCAGCATGCGCTGTTTTTCGCGCTTCGGGATTCGGCCAAAACGAACAGCTAAGCAGAGAAGGGAGGGTTACTGTACAAGAAAAATCACTAACAATACTTTCATTGTGCTGTGTGGTAATTTTTGTTAAGACAGAAAAGTAATTTTAAATGTATAATAAAACAGGTAGCACTGGTTTAACCACCAGCTCATAATGCAGGTGTACGCCCTGAGTGAAACTTTCCCACAAGTCAATGAAGGAACGACTTCGTAGAAATCTTCTCATATTTAACTAAAATTTACATTATGTAAATGTGTGTCAGTTTGAGAACAGCCCACTGTTATATTTCACTATTATATATATATACGTATATATATATATATATATATTATTACTATTTATTATATGTTTCACTGAATTTCCGCGGTGTGGGAACAAAGTCTTATCTTATTCCTTTGAACTCATCAAAGACAGATTGGGTCAGCACTTGCAGGAGATACTCACAGTCTCTGGACATTCCCACCATTAAGCATTTTCTGAGGCGGCACTGCTGGCAGCGGTTTCTGTTGATCCTCATGATGGGGCAGGTACCATTCTTAAGGCACTTCTTATAATGGATGTTCTGTTGGATGCTCCTCCTAAAGAAGCCCTGCGAGTTTACATAGTGTTTCTGATAAGAGTGCACACAAAGTTCTATTTGCTCACGCTAAGCTTGTGAAACCTTAATGCAAAGGACATGAACGGGCAGGTGCAGTGTAAGAATGAAATATAAAGCAACCAGCTGAGAATAAATAAAAATGTTTAAGTGGGACTGTTGAAATAAATGTGTTATATATACAGCAAGACAGGTAGTTGTGTCAGACTGACTGATTTAGGGTAGCTGTTACAGACCCTTTTGTTTGCTACACTGATGAACAAAATGGCAGATTATGTTAGGCAGGAGGCTCCATGGACCAGGATGTTTGCAAATGACCACATAATATGCAGGCAGAAGGTGGAAGAAAACCCAGAGAGGTACAGGTTTCCTTTGGAGCGAAGAGGAACGAAGATCAGCAGGAGCAAGACAGAATACATGTGTGTAAGAGTTAGGTGAGTAGAAAGATAAAGAAGAAAGGAATAGAGGTAGTAAATACCTGCCCTCAGCCATCTAGAGTAATGGACAGTACACAAAAAGGGGATGAAAAGAATGCAGGCAGGTTGAAATTAAAGGAGTAAGTGTTGGGGACAGAAGATAAGCAGCAAGTTGAAGTTGAGTTGGCATTTTGATTCGGCCTGCCAAACTTGTCCTAATTATATTATTAATTTATATTATCATTATACTTAGCCTTTTCCCTGCAATGCCTGCATTTTCGCAATAAATAGCATAGAAAAGGCTAATAGCATTTTAGTCTTTATGCATGACTTTTAAATGTCATTTAACTTATTTCACACAAATGTATGAATACAATACAGTTGTGGTCAGTTTAGAGACAGTTGTGCTGAGGAGGATGCTGAGATTTTCACTGGGAGTGGACATACATACACCAGGGCCATTGTTCTGCACCCAAGTACTTTTAGTCCAGATTCCATGACTAGTGGCCTAAATTTCGCAAAGGGACCTCCCGAGGGATTAATAAAAGGCTATCTTTTTAAGCGCTATCTATCTATCTAACTGTTCGCAACTAAGCGCAGGGCAATTCGGGGGACGAGAGGAAGGGCATTCAGGTTTCAGTGCAGTACAAAGCAATTGGCCCTAGTGTGAGTTCACTCTTGTATGCAGATCAGAAGGACAGTTAAGGTTGAGCAGTTTGGAAACAAAGTTAGAGACGCCTAGGTTGAGATTGAGATTTGTATATGTAGACCGTTAGTGTAAGAGCTGAAGTAAAGTCAACTTCATAATTAGGATGCAATACCAATAACCGTAGATATTGTTCATCAAAGGAGTTTCAAAATTAACATGGCAATGGACAGAGTGCATGACTGAGTCATTATTTCCTTTTTGCTCAACTAAGATGACATCAAGTATTCGTCAGTAGTTCCAACCATCCATACATTTTCCACATGTTAAACTGACAAAATTTGTTGTTGGCAAAGTTGTTAGTTTTTCCCTTCTTGGAAAAAGGCCAATAATGTTTAGACTTTGAAAACCCCTGCACAAGAGGATATGGGGCCCATCTTTGGACCTTTCCCAAAGTTAGGTTTAAACATAAAATCGTTGTGTCAGTAATTTTTCCTCTTAAAGTCAAACCAAACATGAAATGTATCACGTTTCGTAGGCTTAAAAACATTGTTTAGTTCATTCTCCAACATTATTCCAATCTGTCCATTTAGCATCAACTCCTGGGTGCAGGAACACTTTTATAACATGTATTCCCAAGTCCACTGTGGGTGTGTGTGTGTTTATTAGGTCAAGCTGCAACTTAAACGATTGGGGAAGCAGCTGATAAAAAAAAACACAGCATGTACTGATTTTGTGAAATCTCTGCTCTTAGCTGTGCAGATGGCTGTACCCACACTTCAATCCCAGCACAAAGTCAAATTAGTGTGTCACAGTGTGTTTGTCTCTCTGTCCATCTCACCTTGCAGCCTTCGCAAGCGTGGACGCCATAGTGGAAACCAGATGCTACATCACCACAGACTTTACAAAGAAGAACCAGTCCATTTATCTCTAGTTGACACAAAAACAAATGCTCAGCATTAGTCTTAGAAAAGTTACCATAAAATCACTGTCACATTCATAGTAAAGAACTGTATTAGAGCAGAGGTGACCAATAAGTAGATCGGGATCTACCAGTAGATTGCAAAGGCAGTACAGGGAGATCAATTAAAATAAAAAATAAAGATCTTTTTTACAGTAAATATCCCAAACTAGATTATCAATTATTGACAATATATTGTGCCATATAGCTATGGCTATTTAATCGACATATAATGTATATAAAAAGAATATTAGGCTCATATGAATAAATATATATTAAATATTATATTATATATAT